TGCTGAAATTATTATTTTCTTGGAAGACGTTGCTGTCTTGAAAAATTCGTATAAAATCCAGTTTTCAAAATTTCATTGTAACGTTTACATAATCTGAAAATAGACACGTGGGGCTTCGCGTGCATATAAAATATAAGCAAATCGGAGGTCTGTAGCCCCACTAAATATAACTCGTAAAGTGCTCGTTAAATCTGTTTAGAAAATCAGCATTCAAAAACCTCAGAAATTATTTTCGCAAAACGTTTCAGGAATTTGTTTTCAAAATACTTGTTGATCACAAAAGTCTTAAAAACTGTAATAAAATCATAATTCAACAGTAAGCCAAACTACTCAATTTAATACAGTCATTCATCAAATAAACAACAACAGCAATAGTCCAGACAGCAGCACATAACAACAAATATCCATATTATCATGTCTTCCAATGCTCTTCCGTCCTCCTGCCATTTTGTAAAAATAGCAGACCCAAAGGGGTGAGAAAAATCTCAGTAGTGTGGCAACAAAACCAGTAATGCAGCAATACTAACTAGGCACAAAATCATAAAGCAGTCGCATCAACATTTAAAATTTCATACAGTTTGTTAGTCATCATCATGGTGCGCATATAACGCCATATTCATCATAATGCGTATATAATGCCTTCATTGCGCTCATAGCACCATCGTGCGCGCACCATCACAGTGGATATTCCATAATGGCTCCCCATAAAGGTGAATTCCAACTGTGGACCTATGCGGACTGAATCCAAGTGTCCCCTTCCCTGGTTCCGAGGTATGCCTATATGATGCGTGCTCAATCGTATGCATATTTATATAGATATTATTACTAGCCAATGCAACATGAAATTTATGCACGTATGCCATGCTATGCTGTCACACACAAAATAGAAAAACAGATGCGGTATGATGTAAAGTGCATGCTTATATCATCATCATCATAACATATACTTCATGTACTTTTGATGCCATACTGCCACGCCATCATTTCTTTTCATAACAGAGTTACCATCATAACATTTCCATAGGCAGAATACTTTCATCATAGATAGCAGGATAATCATTAGGCACATGTGAGCAACAATTCACAACTTCATACCCTAGTTAATAGTCACATTAGGTAATAATGTGAGTCTGAATGAACATGAGGGGAAACTTGACATACATTAGCACCAGCTTCAAGGAGCTTTTCCACACAGGCGATCTTTCCATGCATTACTGCCAACATAAGCGGAGTCTGAATCGATCACAATGCAATGAAGGATAAGTAAAGGAACACTTTGAAGTGGAACCCACATTCATCCATTCCAAAATATGAGCAATAATGGGAATAACAGCAAAAAGTTACCTACTCTTGGCGATTCAACACATCTGGATTCACAGATCCATCCAAAAGCCTATATATAATCTGCAACTTGCCACAAAAACAAGAAAAATGTAAGGACCCAAAAATGAATACCCAATCGGGTAAGCAAAACAAATTGACAAGAAACAATACGAAACGAGAAAAAAGAGAGGGAAGAAAAGCCCACCTGGATCTGGCCATTAGCAGCAGCAATATGAAGAGCAGAGTGGTTATCATAGACAGTGGTGTGATGCATAAGAGTTGGGTGTGTCTGTAACAAAGTTGCAACACTTTCAAGGTCCCCATGCTGCACAGCACGGAAGAGTCCATGTTCATGGCTCCCTCTGCAACTCAGCTTCTGACCCATCCCTTTCTTCTCTAAAGCATTGCCAGTGCTCTGTGTTGTCATTAGATGGATTGGGCCTAATGGGCCCAAGCCCATTTATGTCAGTGGCTATGTTGGGCCTGATGGGTCGCACACAAACACCTTAAGTTGTCTTGAATTCTAGCATATGTGTTTTGGGCCCAATAAGGCATAATGGGCCTAAGTTGAAAAAGCCCACATATTGGGCCAAGAGAGAGTAGGTGGCATCATGGGTCAAGTTGAACTTGATCCATGATGTAACCTAATTAATTTAAATGTTAAATTAATAAAATTAATTTAAATGTTAAATTAATAAAATTAATTTGAATTCTAATTTCGAATTTGAAATTTGAATTTAAATAAAATTAATTTAAATTTAATTTTAAATTTCAAATTTAAAATTGGAATTTAAAAATAGTCATTAAATTAGATTTATTGAAGATGGAGAAAATAAAGAAAACAAATCAATTAAATTGATTGGAAACAAATCAATTGGATTGATTCACCAAAATTAAGAAAACCAATTAATGAAATTAATTGGCTGAAATTAGGGAAACAAATCAATTGGATTGATTGAACAAAATTAAGGAAACCAATTAATTAGATTAATTGGCTAAAATTTGGGAAACCAATAAATTGGATTGATTGGATAAAATTAAGGAAACCAATTAATTAAATTAATTGGCTGAAATTGGGGAAACCAATCAATTGGTTTGATTGGATAAAATTAAGGAAATTATCCAATAAGATTGGGATTTGATGAGGGCGCTGATTTGACCTAGTCTTAGGTTAATGAGTCGCCTCATCTATATATAGCCCCTCTTCTTCCTTAGTTTTGTATCTCTTCTTCTTCTCTAATTTTCTCCACTGAAACCTTAGCCAAACACACATTAGTGTGGCTGCTATCTCTCTCTTGGAATAACCAAAGGAACTATCCAATCTCTTCGAAGAAGTGTTCTTCTCTTACAAGACAACAAGGTGGTGTGGATTTCCATCAGAGGACTTGTGCTCTTCAAGTCTGAAGAATAAATCAAGAACGCATTTGATCAGGGATAATAATCCGAATAAAGGTATCTACTTTAAATCCTAACATGTCTATTGTATGATTCATGGGTTAAACATGATTAAGGGTGGGCAAAGGTTGCTTCTTCCGCATAAAAAAATTTAATTTTTCCCTCTTTTATGTTCATGGCCTACAAAGGAAACTTTCATTAAAATATCCTTCTCCTTCCATGTCTACAGTTCTGGGTACTGCTACAACTTTGTTCTGTCTCTACCTTCTTCTCATTGCTAGAAAAGATCTTTCAATCTCTGGATCAAATTCAACTTCTGGCTAGTTTGGAGGGTTGTTCATAAACTAGCTGGAATACCTAAAAAGAACAAAAAGAAGAATAGATTAAATATTACTTCACAAAAAGATAATAGATTTAAAATAATCCCCGGCAATGACGCCAAAAACTCGTTGTGCAATTTTGTAATTAATTATATCAATCACACAAGTACGCAAGTGCACGTATCAATAAGTAATAAAGTGGTTGTGTGAGTCCAAGTATTGATCTCACATAGAGTAAGTAAAGTTACGCCTATGAGTGAAATAATATAAGTAACAATAATAATTTTTTGATTAACTTAACCATTAAGAAATAAAATAAGCTAAGATTAATAATTAACTAAAAAAATGCAGTAATAATATAAGATTTTCAAGTTTCAAAAGTAGATTGGGATCAATTTTTCCATTATTGCAGTTTCACGTAATGCAGTCACAATGCTACAACAATCATCCAATCAGTAAATAGAACACTAATGCATGCAAGGGCTCTCACCAACAATACATGTATACTAGTTCCGATATCTCTATGGCCAACATAGTTATAAATCATTAAGTTCATGTTCCATATGATTTTGTGATGTGAATGATCTCTCTACCCATAATTAACCAATTTTACTTAGTTAAACCACAATGTTTAATAACTTTCAGAGTTCACCTATATCTCTATATCCCAAACCCTAAGTAAATATAATTTTTATGAAAAATTAATAAATATAATTTTTTTAAATAAAAGTTATTACTCAAGTAAATGCCATTCTCAAGTATTTATGGGACTAATAGAACCAAATTTCACCTCTTTACTATTTTTTTCTCTCTAACCTGTCCTTTATAATAATGAATTTGTTTTTTATTTATAAAAAAATGTTAAAAAGAAATTTTTATTGTTCCAATGCAAAATAACTTATATTTTGTTTTTGAGTTTAGTGTTTGTTATCTTAAAAGACATAATTTTATATTATTTTTAATGAAATTAAATTATTTTAATATATTTTATCATTTTTCTTTTTTATAAGATTAAAATAAAAATAAAATTAAATAAAATATATATATATATATATAAAAATAATATAATTTTATTAAAAATAACATAATTTTATAGGGAGGGGTTATATTACAATCCAAATAGTTTACAAACTCTTACAATCATATATTAACCGCTGATTTTCGTCAATCAACGGTTGTCATTTATTGTGAATTAATAATTAATTAATAAATTTAATTTGCGAAAATCTTAACCGTTGATTGACGGAAATCAACAGTTAAGATATGATTGTAAGAAGTTGTAAACGAAAATAGGTTGTAAATATAACTTTTTTTTAATTTTATATTTACAGAGGGTAGCATGACAATGAGTTAACATGTAACCAGATTTGAATATTTTTTTTTTGAGTTTTCTTCGTAACGAGCAATAATAACAAAAAAAAAAAAAAAAAAACTCCAATGTTTTGAAGGTGGGTAACTTATGGTAAGGTATGGGACTCTTGAGTCTACAACGCAAACATGGGGGTCTGGGATTTTGAGTTTTTGGGGTGACACTCTCCAGAGATTTGTTTCATGTTATATTACCTTTTTCTTTAATTGTTAATGGGTTTTAAGACAAATATTGCAGCACTTCACCGCTGATTGTATTAATTTTTTTTTCATGGTTCTTTCCATGTTTTTCCCACTATTTATTTATTTCTTTTGAATGTTCTGGTTGGATTCTTTTTTTTTTTTTTTTTTCTCTCCAAAAAGTGACTTTCTTTCATTTTCTAAAACCCACTATATTTTCACCACATATATATACAAGTGTTGATTTTTCTCCGTATTTCTGTATTTTGAACTCTTTTTCACTATGTAATTGTACTTTTTGGATGATGGGTATTTCTGCTTATGTTCTATTTGCAAACAGGGTGTTTGAAAATGGATGGCTCGGAATCATTTAGGACAAAGCATGAACAAGGGTCCCATACCACACAATTAATCATGTGTGAGGAACCTCTTCCTTTATCTGCTTCTTGTTCCAAGGAACGCACAAAGGTGAAACAAGCATTGATGGTGTATAGGGACTTGTTTTGCAAACTTTTGAGTGAATACGAAGCAGAACAACTTGGACATTTGAAACCAAAAACAAAAGCCTTGACTGAAGCAGCAATGTTAATGCGGAAGAAGCATCAATGGGAGGACACTAAAAAGCAAGTGGGACATGTCAAAGGAATTGAAGTTGGTGACCAATTTCAATACAGGGCTGAACTCAATGTTATTGGCCTCCATCGTCAGTTTTCAAGTGGTATTGATTACATAGGGAAGGGTACAAACTCACTGGCCACAAGCATTGTTGTAACTCATCGCTATGCTAATGCTATAAAATCTTGCGGTTCCTTGGTTTATATAGGTCACGGAGGGAACCCTGATGTAAGAAGTAAATCAAGTAATGTTTTGCCACATGATCAGAAATTGGAAGTAGGAAATCTTGCTTTGAAGAATAGCATGGATGCAAAAAGTCCTGTGAGGGTTATATTGATGAAGGCTTGTGCAAGATTTGATGGGATGTACACATTTAGTAACAGCGATTCTAACTGCCGTTATATTTATGATGGCTTATATTTAGTGGAGAAGATGACACAAGGGAGAGGAAAATTTGGAAAGCTTGTGTTCAAGTTTACAATGAATAGAATTTTAGAGCAACCCGCAACTTGTGTTTCCTTTAAGGATGTGATTATGCAGAATGATAGCAGTTCAGGGCGATTTGCAGGTTCTACTCCAATGAAGAGAAACAAATCTAAAGGTTGTGCAGCCCAAAAGGATGTTGTCCGTGTGAATGATGTGTCAAAGGGGAAAGAAAAGTTTCCTATTCGGTTGGTCACATCAATAGATTGTGTTGAAATACCTCCATCATTTGATTACATAGTCGATATCATTTATTCAGAGAGATTCAACCAGCCAATTCTACATGGATGTGATTGTGTAGATGGATGTGTGGATTTTAAAAAATGTGGCTGCATTGTTAAGAATGGTGGAACAATACCTTATGACTGTAACAAAAGACTTGATTCTCAAATGAAATCATCCCTTATATATGAGTGTGGCCCTTCTTGTAAGTGCTCCAAATCTTGCATCAACCGGGTAAGTCAGTGTGGTATTCAGTTCCAATTGGAAATCTTCAAAACAGAATTGAAGGGTTGGGGTGTTAGAACACGATCTTTCGTTCCCTCTGGAAGCTTTGTGTGTGAGTACATTGGAGAAGTTCATCACAATAGAGAAGCGGGTTCTAGGCTTGTGGTTGATGACTATATATTTAACATAGGTATGTTTATGATGGATATCTTCTCTGGTTTGTGTTCGGACTTCATTTAACAATTGCAGTCTGCTTTTGCAGGTGATGGCAAGGGCTTCTTCATTGATGCAACAAGACGTGGTAATATTGGAAGATTTATAAATCACAGTTGTTCTCCTAATCTCCATGTCCATGATATTTTTTATGGTCACAATGAAAAGAGCATTCCCCACAAAGTGCTGTTTGCTATAAAGGACATAGCTGCTGGTAGAGAGCTGAGTTATAATTATAATTGCTGCAAGGGAAGAATTATCAAGGTTGGGAGTAATAGTTGCTACTGTGGTTCACCTCAATGCAATGGACACATTCACATTTGAAGGTATGAATTTTATGATCTTGGATAACAACATTCCCAAAAACAGTTTTCTTTATTTATTTTTTCCTTTATGTTTAGTCTTTTAGTCTTGAGAATAGAAATAATTGAAAATAACATTTGATAAAATCGATTTATTTGTTCTCCTGGAATACAAAGTGGTAAAAATAAGAATTTTTATTTTATTCTCTGACACATTATTTATTAAATGCATATATCAGAGTATATGTTATCAACATTGTAACACCCCGTTTTAGAACCAGTTTGTTAACATCGCATTATGATATTAGGCGCAGTTACAATCACATTGACTCAATTAAAAATCTGGATAAATTTTTCTTTTTCAAACGACGCCGAATTTAAAATATCCAATTGCGTGATCATAACCATATTACTTTGCGGAATCAGATAAATCAAGCTTAACATCATGTTCTTATTCCATTTTTAAACCATTAATTTACTTCTTATTTATTTCACAACTTCTACTATATTGTAGATCTCTTCGTTAGCTACGCGTGGTTTCAAACCGCTCCTCATTTGGAGCACTGTAGCCCAAGTTATGACAATTGGAAGCAACACAAGAGGGTGTTGATCACAGGCGGGCGCTCAAGCGCGCGTTATCGGGCGCTAAAGCCTCCATCTGGGCGCTTAAGCGCACGGAGGCAGAAAGCATCAGGTCTTTCAGTATATAAAGTGCTTCCTTTGACTTATTGTGATAGTTTTACTCATCAAATTGTATTGCATTCTAATAGTTTTGCTTAGACTATCATAACAAATATGATGATAATTCTAATTTTGTAACTCTTAAATGGTCATTGTCATGGCTCAATTATCTTGCAGCTTATAATTATTGTCTACTATTTTTCAGCGTGACAAAAGGAGTAAAGGACCTTAGCGGACTTAGCATTTTGGAGTCATGCAATTGAAGTCTAGCGATTTCGATTCATGTATTGTATGGTTCCGCCGTTCCGGTAATATAGAGAAAGGGAAGCAACTTAAGTAGCAGTTACTATGCATTAGGATTGGTAGTGGATGTGTATTTTGTGCCAGGGGCATACTTTTGCGTCACATTATATCACAGTATTTTATATAGGGATTACTTCAACCCTTGTATATGTTTATACCAAGAAATTATATCTGTTGGAGATTATATCTAACGTATATTGTTTGAATTCAATTCTTTGTAACCGTAGGTTTGAATTCTTTGTAACGCATATTGTTTGAATTCTTTGTAACCGTAGGACTGTTTAGATAGAGTATTTATTTGTTTTAGTCTGTTACGTTGTTACCATTTATTGTATGTTCGCCTATTTAAAGGCTATCAATGAATGAGATAAACACACAGTTGAAGTATCAAGTCTATCTTGGTATCAGAGCAATCCTAGTATACACGTTTCCGCATTCCCTTTCAGTGCGAAAGCTGGTTCATTTAACATGGCACCAGGTGGTGGCAGCAAGTCCAAAACAACTGATCCTAGTTCGCCATTTTACTTGGCTGGATCCGACAGTCCAGGTCTCTTGTTAACGACTGTCATGCTGCGTGGTGAGGCCAACTATGACAACTGGGCCAAGCTCATGAAAAACGCATTGAAGGCGAAAAACAAATTGGGTTTTGTGACCGGTTCAGTCAAGAAACCAGGAGAGGATGATGCCGAAGAGTGGCGCGCCTGGGAGATGTGCAATTTGATGCTCAATGGTTGGATTCACAACACCATTGATGCAAAACTTCAACCATTCAAGCTAACAATCCAAAATATTTCGAAAATGGAAATCAGTTAAAAAAAATAATTCACGTTAGCATTGAATAAAATAATTCACCAAGATTCTAAAAATACACTATTCTGAAAGTGTATTCACAAAAGATGCACAGTCGAAAAATGTCCGCAAAAATTCAAAGTTTACGAATTGTGGGACCTACTACCCATGTAAAACTATTTCATATAAGTGACATAAATAATTTCAGACACATGTGCAGTGAATATAAAATTCAAAAAATGATACTTAATGCTCACATACTAATAAGTAATAAATGTTAATACTAACTCATCTGTGGGGTTCAAATATAAATATAAGTATTCATACTAAGGTGAATAATGCCATGAAGTATTGTTATTCACAACATCACAAAAATTTCAAAATAATAAGTGAAACCAAAAGTTGGGTCCAATTCACACTAAAAAAAAATTTAGGGTGTTGTGCGGTGTGTGTAGTGTAGGGTGTTGTGTTCAATTCCTTGTAATCTACAAAAAAAAAATTGCCAAATTTGAAAATGAGATCTAAAATATCGGATCTCTAAGCCCATGTAAGTGTGGAAACAATGAAGCCAACTCATAATTGTACAAAGACAATAATAATATAATAGTAATACACTCATTAAAGCGGAATCAGAAATTAATTCACTAATAAAGCCACAATTAGGCACATTTCAGGATCTCCAAATTCATGCAACAGTAAATTCACAAAACTTTAATAATTGTTTCTCAAAAAACCGAAACTTTCAAAAAATGAGAATTTCCACAAAAAGCAAAAGCAACACACGCCATACACTACACCAAAAGTGGGATTTAGCGGCGGTTTTTTTGGATTTAGCGGCGGTTCAAACCGCCACTAAAATATTCAGTGGCCAATTGAAAACCGACTCAGAAACTGGCGACGTAGAATAATTTAGCGACGGTTTACTGCAACAGCTGAAATAACCGACGCTAAATATACAGCCAACGCTGAATGTATAGAAACCGCCACCAATTACAAAAAATTATTTATAATTTTTTATTAATAGCGACGGTTTAGAACCACCGCTAAATCTTGTAATTCTATTTTTTTTTTGATAGCCCATTTTTTTTTAATTAAATTTTTTGGTGGTTTCAATTAATATAATTTTTTAATTAGCAACTTCTTTGGAAAATATGGTAAATACTTTATCAATAAAAAAGTGTTGACTAGAAAACTCAATGACTGAAGAAATATATATTGATAAACGAAGTTCTAAATTACAAAGCATGCTCAAATACAAGAGAATGGTCGCACAAATTAACCTCAAGACCTCAAAAGTTTGTATAAAACTATGTGAGATGGAACTCCAGCATCAGAGGTAGTTCCTATACAAAAATAAATAATTTATATTAAAAAAAACTATTGCTGTTTGTTTAACATGAAATCCTCAAGATAAACCAAAAAACTTTCCACGTGGGGTAGACCTGCTCCTTCTAAATTCAGGCATGGATGTGTTACTTCCTTCTTTGAAGTTGTTACCTGAGTCATTCAAAACTTTGTTTTCAACTTTGCTAGCCAATAAAGGTTCTCCTGCTTGCACTATTCCTCTGCATATGACAAAAATGCTCTATTATCATTACCAATGATTCTATAGGCAAAATCTTTCTTAAAAAGAAACAATTATTTAACTATACAAATAAAACATTTAATTTATTATTATTTGGTAAGAAATATTAAGAACATAGTACTCTGTTAAACATAAAAGAAAATGTTTCCACGAAAAACCCTTTGACTCACCGGAATATGCGTAGCCTTTCAGTACATAAGGCCTTCGCGTAGTCCATGAGTTGGTGGGCAAGATCTCCTCATGACACGGCGTTGTTATCACCTAGTTTATGTTCAGCTCGTTGATTATATACTCTTGCTTGTACCACCAGGCTGCACTCACACACACACCCCAAAAAAAATTAAATAAAAATATAATTAATAATTTACTTTGTATCAGTGAAATTTTTCTTAGGTAAAAACTAATCAAATCAATATTTAACACATATACTAAATTAAGGTACCTTCAGCATTGGCAAGCTCAGCATCAACTCTTTATGCTCGTTCCATACTTGGACCCACCACCACCTAGGAGATCCTCAACACCCTCGAAGCAAACACTCAGCATCCTCAACACCCAGCCAGATGAAGATAGAGAAGAAGTACAAACAACACTTCAATACGGTACAATTTCCACATGCTTTTTTACACATTTCTTATTATTGGATATATGTGTTTAATAACCTCAAAGCTTCTATCAAAAGTTTCAGGCTTCATGCTACCACTAGTACCATTTTTGGTCAAATGATAAGGTGAAACAAAATTAAGGAAGAAGTGCAAAAGCAGAGAATAATAATCGTAAGCATCAAAATAAGAAGGAAAGCCTCATAAAACAATTTTGATAGCACCCCTTAAAAACAAGCCTTACTAATCCAAAATAACCAATAACCATGTCCTGGTTATTGATTGCTAAAACATGTCCTAGTTATTGATTGCTAAAACATGTCCTAGTTATACACAAGGCAGTGTCTAAATACTTGTGGATATGAAATACATAAAAAAGATAGTAGAGGAGACAAAAATCATGATCAAAACTTAGCCCCAGAAAACGAAAGCCAAAAAAGATCCCAGATCAATATAATTGGAAATTCCTTTTGCAGAATTCCAAAAACAAAAATAACACTTCCCCACACAAATCCAAATGAAAAAAGATATGGGGAAGAGAGAAAAAAAAATTAAAAAAAAAGTGGGCAGAGTGAGTACATGTTTTACTCACCAATAACTAACAAATGAAGCCAAAACAGAAGAAAATTTAATATTACTCACTTTCCACTAAACTTGTTCGAGATGTCTCTTTCTCCTAAAGCTTAAAGGAAGAAAACTCAGTTAACAGATCTTCCTTGCAAGGTTTTGTTTTGAAAATCTTTACTTACAAAAAAAAAATTACAGAATGAGCACAACAGGGGTGTAAGTATCGCATATCACCTATAGATTTTTACTATAAAATGAATTGCTGAACCACAATAGTGGATTTTGATGACTCATTAATAAATGCTTGCTTAATTAGAAGCCAGTTAATCATAATGAAAAAACTTACAAGAATATTTCTGCCTCTCCTAAATGGGTCCCTGAAAATAGCCTGTGGGCTTTTGGTTTTTTAATTTTTCATAATGCGCCAAACAAAAAGGAAACTCCAGTTATCAGTTTATTTGTAAAATTAAGAAAACAAATAAGAGCAAGAAGGGCATCATACTATAGGATGACTTCAGTGTCTTCCCCTGGAGCTTGCCCTGTGCTAGACCCATCAAAGTTCCACTTGGGAAGTTTTGCAAGTGGATGACACTATGATTACCAAAGAAGACTAGGTAATATGCAAAAGTGGAGTGGTGTAACAAACTAAGAGACCCTGATTCGATTTAATACTTTAATTAAATTCTTGCCAAACATCCCACTTGATTGAACTCGTAAAATGATTTTAGAATGAGAACCGATATAAATAATTATAGCCAATTTGATGAATTAGTATTATATACTTGTTTTTCTATATATTCTTTTAGTTCATGGCTTTTTCCGTTGGGGACAAGTGTTTTACACTTGATGAAGACAAAATTTGGTGAAAAACAAATTTGGCTACCCAGTGATACAACTGAACTTGTAGAGTGCCTATGAACTTGTAGAGATAAAATGGAGGAAACTGTGAGTTCCTATGAACAACAGCAAGGAGAAGTAAACCCCTTAAATTAGTAAGAAACAACAGAAAGTCCACTATCTCAAGTGTAAAAAACTTAGCAAATGTACCTTCCCTTCTTCAGCTTGTTTAGCCACTACCTTCGTTAGTTCCTGGAAAAGAAAAAGAATAAAATAAAAATAAATTATAGCTTAAATTATTCAGATGACAACATGAAATCCACCTATTCATTTAGACCTTCAAAATATTCCCTAGAATTCATGTAGAAAGAACCATTATATAAAAATTGCACAATCTCGTAAACAAAATAAATAGATAATATTGGAATTATGGCCAGGAATGTTAAGAAGACTTTTTCCTAGAAAGTTCACTGTTCTCATGGGTCATGGCTATAGAAGAGGTGATGCTGTGCCATTTTGAAAATAATTAAATTACAAATGAGAATCAATTAGGAATATTACTTTCAGTTGGTGTAAGAATGTAATTCACAGAGAAAGAAAGAAATGTCACAAGAAATCTCATAAAAGAATGAATTTAGACACTACAGCATCAATGGAACTGGAAAATACCTTCCTCCTATCAGATGTCAACTGAGGGATGCTCAATCGTATCAATTATCCATCATTATTCGGAGTCATACATAGATCAGAGCTAACTATGGCTTTCTCTATAGCCTTCAAGCTGAAAACCAATATTTATAACCAAAGGTTTGCTTAGATTTACTTTACATACAAGATACCATATCATTATATCAACACATTCAAGCACAACTAAAAAAATTGTGTGAGCACTGCATACATAGTCGCAGAGGATAAAGATAACATTGATCTAAGATGAAATCTGCGATTCAATTACTTCCATGTGTTTCCTGGAATCACAAAGTATGCATGTTCATATATATATGAAATCTCCCAAGTAAATCATTAATCATGGAAATCATTAAATTCAAATAGTATTTAATCAACACTAGACCAAATTTTGCTTTTATACATCAAAAAGTCATCACAGTAACTTGAAATTTTGAACTCTATCCAAATCCCTACCAACCGAGCAACTGATGTAGCTCAAATTTTTTACTAGTGATGAATATATTGCAGGACTAAATACAAACAACCATTGACAAAAATCAAGGTAAACATTAGAACTTACGGGTCACATACTCCAGTTGTTTGGTTCAGTCACATATTCCAAAAACAACTTGTTTAACAAAAGGCCAAGAACGGTGTATGCAATCTATAATCTTGATACGCATCCTGGACCTGAGTTTATTGGACACCGAGACTAATAAACAACAACAGCTACTCAATTAATATATATATATACTTAAAAACCAATCTTCGTGGATGGGTTTTATAAAAAATCCTATTAACCCATTCCTATAAAAAAATCCCACCCATCCAAAGTAACCGAATATACTAGCTTCTCCAATAAGAGAAAGAGAGACCACTAACCCAAATTCCTATTCAAATTCCCAACCCACTTTCTCAAAATACTAAAGCAAAGATACTGTAATGTAACTCAATAACCATTCACAGCTTCAGCCCCTCAACAAGGAAAGGAAAACGGACCTCACTAAAATCCTTGAGTTTATATAATTGAAAAATTACAAAAAATAATGTACTCACCATAGAACGCACCAACCGCAAGGCACTGCTGTAGTTAAACTATGAAGAAGAGGCATTAGCTACATCCAAGGAGAAACAAATAGATAAATTAGAACAAAATTATAATATTAAAAAGAATTAGTAAAATTTAGAAATAATATCAAAATTACGCAAGGATAATGAAAGAATATAAATAAAAATTAAAAAAATTGCAAAATCTGAAGAAAAAAAGGAACAAAAACACACTCAACTAACTCGAAGATGAATCAAATTAAAATAATACTTGAATAAATTACTCCAACATTGATTTGAGAATAAAGCAAAAAATTTGGGAAAAAAATCTAAAGCGTATAACAAGAATCAGGAACGATAAAATCTCAAATAAATTGAAAGAGATGCGAAGGAGAGAAGAGAAAAAGTAAGGAAGAAAAAGAACAATCAGAACGAAAAAAATGGAATGTAAAGAACGAAAGAGATAAAATGAAACCTAAGGGTTAGGAATTGAAATAGAACCTCAGAGAAAGCTAAGAGTTGGGACGAAACAATTACAAAATGAATTGGCTATTATTTAAAAAAAAGAAAAAAATATTGTTAATAATCATTTTTAAGGGCTGTTATCTCCACCGCCCCTGTGTAACCGCCACCAAACCCTACTTTTCCAGTAGTGATAGTGTCAATATTCTTCTATACGACAACAGCAAAGCATACGCTTCTGAAAAACAGAAAAATAGCTTGCACTTATAATTTTCTAAAAATTATTTTACGCATGGAAATTTCGTAAAAACTGTGAAACATGGCTTTTCACACATGGAGTGATTACATGCCATTAACAGAAAATCTTTTCGTTGCACCGTATACTCACACGGCAACAACAAAGTCATCTTTAGTGTTTTCAGTCACACCAGAAGACACATGTCCTTGAAAAAATTATCTAAAAAAAAAATCTATAGATCATGGAAAATGCATAATGACAATGGAATCATCCAAAATTTACTGTAGCTTCATACCACATATAATCATCCTTTACGACAACATTTAAAGTACCCGCAACATTTTACAGCACCAAAATTTCATAACTCGGGCATATCTACATTCATCTAGCCATCATAATAAGACACATGCAAACTTCCACATACAATTAACACATCCAAGGTTGCTACGATCGAGTGGAAAAATGTAAGATCGATCGATTTTACGAGTTTTTCTCTTCCCACGAGTCAAATCGTATGCTCTATCATTTTGGTGTCTGATTTTATGAAATCGATGTTAAAAATCGTATAATCGTAAAAACATGCGTGCTTGCGATTGAAGAAAAATGATGAATAGTACGTATTCAGTTCCCTTCCCACTTTCCACTTCCCGTTCTACAACAAAAGGCAAAGCCCATTTGAAAAAAAGCCCACAGTTGAAAAATCACAACTTTGTCTCACACTCTCAGCCAGCTTTTTTATTCTTCCCAAATCGAAAACCCTAAGCTCAAGTTGTGTGATAGCGTCGTTGCCGCGGTCTGTGAGTTTCATCGGTGCTGGAGTGTCAAGCTGCTGTGCGACTGTGTCTGTGAGTCTCTTAAACTTCGCTGCTTCTGTTTATGTTCAATTTTAGAATATTTTCCCTTGCTGTCAAATTTCCCTGAATGTCCGTTGATATATAGTTGTGGACCTGTTGGCTGTTGCAACAAAGATGATTGTCTAATGAAAATGGCACATTGAATTTATTGATCCTTCTTCAAGTAAAAGATAAAAATCGATAAACTAAATTTTTATGGCTGAGTATGCTCATATATATTTGCAGTTATTGAAATTGTGGACCGTATTTAAACTTGTGGACCATATTGAAATTGTACCTAACTATTAACTAATTATCAAGTATTGCTTTTTGGGACTTAAGAAAGGCATGCAATCAAACTGAACGTGAGGTAGTTATATGTGATATAATAATGGTTACTTTGGTAGGACTTTTGATTAAAACTTACGCAAATTGAGAGTATGAAAATCACTTCTTAATGCTTGTATAGCCTTGTTAAGTTAAGGATGGTTATGTGTAGAAATATTTTTGCTTTGAACCATATTTTGATAAGATCCTAGAAATTTTTACCTTGATATAGTATATGTATGAGTTTACCCGTTGGAACCAAATGTGTAGTGAGTCTACTAGTGACCATTTGAGACAACCATAAGTTGGTAGAATCTTAACTTCCTTTAAGCCAAAGAAGTTGTATTTGTAACAGACCATAAGCCATGAGTAGGTAGAATCTCAACTTCCATTGAAAGGGAGTTAATTAGAAGTACTCCAATTTTGGAAAATTTGAGAAAAAATAATTTAAGAATCTCTTATACAGAAATTTGTTAAACAATTGGGTTTTCTGCACATTGATTTCTAGTACAGCTTTGTTCAAATATTTATATTTCAGCATGTAGTTACCCCAAAATAATAAATAGCATGTCATTATAAAGTTTGTGACGTCTAGTTTCTTAAGGTAAAATTCTAAAACTTTTTGTGATCTCACTAATTCCAATTTTGGATGAAAGTAGCGTTGCCAGGACACCTTTTTTGTTGTTCAATAATTCCCTTGTATCTTTTTTTTTCTCATGGGGCTGTTTCCAACTGATTCTTTCGCATGAATTATATGTTTCTTAAATTATACCTTGTATTTCACTAACCAACAATTATGTTAATATGTTGATTATTTGCTTATGATTTTTGTCAAAAATTAGCATTGAATATGGCCTCAAGTTATGGTGCTTCTACTAGTAATAATACTCCCGAGTCTCAGACAATTGTAGCCACCAATAAAGGAACAAAAACACATAGGAATGCGGCTGGAAATAGAAATGACATGGGATGGCAACATGGTATACCACTTGATGAAAGTGGTAGAAAAATACAATGTAAGTATTGTAACAAGATCGTAACCAGAGGGATTTATCGATTGAAACATCATTTGGCATGAACCCAAAAGGATGTTGAAGCATGTAAATCTGTTAGTGTTGAAGTTCAAAAACAAATGTGGGAAATTGTAGTCTCTTTGCAAGAAAGATTATTAAGAAAAACAAGCACACAAGAAGAAGAGCCTAGTGGAAAAAGAAAAGGGGAAGAGCCTATTTTCAAGAAAAGAGGTATAACTCAAAATACCATCAATACTACAAGAAGAATTTGAGAGATGAAGCATGTCAAGATTTGGCTTTATTTTTCTACAATAATGCCATTCCATTCAATGTAATAAAGAGTGATGAATTCATCAAAACATGTGAATCAATTTCAAGACATGGCTTGGGATTTAAGCCACCATCTTACCACGAGGTCAGGGTCAAATATTTAAAGATTCAGTACAATTTGACAATGGAGGTTATTGAGGAACATAGAGCTCAATGGAAGAAAATAGGGTGCACATTAATGACTGATGGGTGGACTGACACAAGAAGGAGGACAATCATAAATTTTCTAGTGAATAGCCCTATGGGAACTATTTTTCTGAAATCTATTGATGCATCTGACATATCCAAGACTGATGATAAAGTTTTTAAGATGATTGATGATGTTGTTATGGAGGTTGGTGAAGAAAATGTTATGCAAGTTGTGACGGATAATGCAGCAAATTACAAAGCTGCTAGAGAGATGTTGATGGAAAAAAGGGAAAAGTTGTACTGGACACCATGTGCAGCACATTGCATTGATCTAATGTCGGAAGATTTTGACAAGAAGATACTAGTTCACCATGAAACAATTCGGAGGGAAAAAAATCACAACCTACATTTATTCAAGATTTTCTGGTAGTTATATTTTGCGTAAGTTCTACCTTAACCCGCAATTTCAATATCAGCCTGGATTCCAACCAAAATTATAATACCCCAAACTTAAGCATTTAATTGATTAATTTTAATTAAATAATTAAGCATGTTTTAGTGAGTAAAATTAAGTATAAGGCTTAATTAAATGAATCTGAGTCACTTTGGAGTTAAAAAGTATACTCAGTGAAAATTAAGGGGTATAAATGGGTACTGGCGAAAGTGCCCAAAATATAAAAATAAAATTTATAAATATTCCTAGAATAATATTCCAGACTTTTGGGTAAAGTTTGGTAATTAATGGAGTTGAATAGATAGATGAACCCGTACCCACATGATTTCCACTTAACTATGTTAAGTGACTAACCTATTAAAAAAAAGAACCCAAAGACCCCCCTTTCCCGTCGTGCTCCAGAGAAGAAAAAAGAAGGGAAAGAAGAGAGGAAAGAAGAGAGAAGGAAGAGAGAAATGGAGAAAGGGAGAAATCCAAAGAACCACCATCCCTCAACCAAATTGGATGATTCCAAAGCCTAAACCACTTAGATTCTTCCCCTCTTTCATAATCCTAGCTTTGTTTTGAGTGGGAGTCTTGGTGGAGAGAGATATCATCCCTCAAAATTCGCCCCTTTTGTGAAAGTGTGGTGTTTTGGGAGTTTCTACCTCCATGGAAGCTTGAGGAACACTCATTCCTCTATTGTGTGATCATTGGTGGTAAGTTTCCACTCTCTTTCACATGATTCTTGGAGATTTGCATGAGTTTAGGTGGTGTTTGGTTGGGGTCTTTCTAAAATTTTCCTAGGCAAGTGAGAGAAGGATTCCAGGATAGATGTGTTTGGTTGAATAGATTCTCACCAAAAGCTGGTTATCCAAAATACATAGTTTTTTCAATTTAAATGGAAAATGACATGTTTCTGTACTGTTTGAAAAGCGTTTTGCAAAGTGGGTTTTTGTAAAACCACGCTAAACCACTGTTTGTCCTATTTTTTTTTGTAACCAATATACCCTTTCAAACTAGTACAGAGATGATACGATGCCAATCTTCAGTGTGTGGTCAGCAGCTTAGGGCGTGTCTTCCTTAGAGCACCTTCCCGCAAATGAGGACCGGAAGAAAGCAAGGTGGTGCATGGTGGTTGTCGATCTCACTTTCCAGCAAGTAGCTTCAGAAGGTTTGCTTTCCATTACCTTCGATCTCACCCAACTTCTTTTTGTTTATGGAACATGATGTGTTGATGATTCGTAATCGTTTGTAAAAATGAAAAATAGCTTATCTTCCACTCAGCTAGATTACTGTCTCGAGTTATGTTCATCCTCTTTCTGTCCAAAGTTGTAAATATAAAAATATTAACAATGGTTAAAATTGCTGAACGGAAAGAAAGTTATGACAAACCACACCTTATAGGAGTAAAACATGTTTGTTCTTGTAATAGTTCTTCACGGGTAAACATTAATTTCTGGCCTAAACCGTTTTACAGATTTTTAATTCAAAAGCTTTCCCTGTATCTTTAACCCAAGGGGCAATAGAGCGAATGGGGTTAGTCTAAAGTGGACAACTATCTTCCCCACAAGGCATATTCTCATCTAGATTACTTGGCTGCCTTTTATTTGAAATTTTGCATGTCATGATTTTTTTTTGTTTTCCATTTGAATTGAGAATTTTGTTCTACACATGGAGATGTTTCTGTTATTATATGATATGTGTGTTTTTGTATAAAATTCAAGGAGAATTCGTATTCTAAAATTTTTGGCTTTATAAAAACCAATTAAAAATGAGACTCATTGACCAATGATGGAGCTTTTTGTGAGATTTCCCCCCATCTAATTTGCGTTTGTATCTGCTCTGCCATTTTGCAAAAGAGTAACTCAGCACAACCACATCACTTGAAGCTCGTTCAGTTATATTTTTGGAACCATCCTCTGTCTTTCGGTACACGGTGGTGTTAGCTGCATCCTACTTCCCCATCACTTGAAGTTCATTCTCAGATCAAGTAAGTGGTGTTAGCTGCATGTATATCTTATTTGTTGAATTTTTACGTAGAAGTTAAATTTTTCATTTTGTCATCTCCTATAATTGATCCATTGTTATAAAATATATTCATAAGCTTATTTTATGGACCCTTGTGACATTCAACCTTTTTTAAAATGATTTATTAAGTTTGGGTTTATGGGAAGTAGGTCTTGAATGTTATGTTAATAATATTAAAAAATTATCATGTTGTGATGATGTTGATGTTGATGTTGTTGTTGAGATAATGGCATAGGAGGAGGGTTTTGGTATACTGGGATTCCTTGGATGGGTCTGAGAAAACCAAGTTCTTGGCTTAGGCTTTGGATTTGTGGTTGTTCTTGTTGTTGGTGGTTGAAAAGTGGCTGGTTGTGGAAGTAATGGTTTTGCTGAAATGTTTGGAAGGGATTGGCATTACCGTTTTGGAAGTGATGAATGAGGTTGGAGTTTTTGGAATCTGTAGCCTTTGGATTAGAGAGGGAGAGGTCATGATCAAAGCAAGTATCCTTTTTGGACATTGATGGTGATGATGATAAGGAGTTTGTAGAGTCCAAAGCTGTCTTCCAAAACCCCAAGTCTATGTCTTCTTCTGTTGTAGTACTTCTCCTCCAACTTGATGTGGGTTTGCTGTTTGGAGGGTTGATTTGCAAGGATAAGTCCTGGTTGTGCTGGGAATAATTTTCCATCCTTGCCTATCAATACAAGTTTACTTGTTTTGCTACTTTTGCAATGAAGAAGAGTATTGTAAAATCAACAACCCATTACCATGAACAGAAAACTGATTGATAAACAAAAGCCTGCTCATAATCTATAATTGAACTTTAATAAGTCTTAAGATGAATATTCAGATCTCTACATAAATCATATCTTACACGTTAAAGAAACCCTTGTCCCTCACTCTTCTTAATTACCTTGGACTTTTCTTAGACAACATTTTTTCTGAAGAGAATGATAGCTGAGCAAGTTGATCAACACTTGTATTCGTTTTGGTAAAAAAAAAATGTTACCTTATATGTAGTGGCTCTCGATCATTCAAATCAACGCAGTTAAAGGCTCGTTAATTTATTTCCCTCACTCCATCACTATCTAGAAAAGAAGATCGGAAAAAATGGAAAATAAAAGGTTAATAAAGGTGTACTTACTCTTCTCAAGTTTGAAATATTTTTTAAATGGTTTTGAAGAGCTGATCATAAATTATTACGAAATAAAAATTGAATTGATTACCTTTGTGTATAGGAGAACTCAACGTAGCTTTCAATTCTGCATTAAAGAAAAGAGATTAGGTAGAAATAAAAGATGGCTTCTTATGTCAACAATTATAAGCAGACATTACTTTGTTTGCAATTTTTTTACACAGCTAAAGGTGTACGAACTTGTACATAATTAATAGAGGAAAACTAATGTAATTTTTTTTGTAACGTGTAATTGACAATCATTGTCCTCTTTCCTTTTAACATGCAATCACAAAGTTGTACAAAATAATACCCAACATGTAAATATAATAAGATAACATCAAGAGTAAACACCCTTTTTAGTCCATGTCAATATCTACGAAATCCTTTTTAGTCCCTGGCAATAAAAAAGGACCAAATTGGTCCCTGAAATTACAAAAAAAGGGCCATGTTAGTCCTTATGTCAACTCCCAAATATGTAGAGTGGCCCTTTTCTTGTACTTTCAGGGACCAATTTGGTCCTTTTTTATTGCCAGGGACTGAAAAGGACTTCGTAGATATTGCCAGGGACTAAAAAGGGTGTTTACTCTAACATCAATATTAAGCATCTTGTCTTATATATGTGGACCAAATTTTTCTCATCTAGTTACTAGTTTGCAAGCATGGTAATTAACTAATTATTAGAAAAGAACAGAAGTATATAGTAGTCGTTTTCGCTGAGAGGAAAAGGGTTGTGGTGTGGATTCTATCCTCTGCTTGCTGCATGCATTTGCAATATTGAAGAGTAAGAAATATATGATAAATTCGTTTATAACAGCCATGATATTTATTTTTTTGAAGGTAATTACTTAACTGAATCTGTTTGTCTTCACGTGTTAGATAATGACCATCGACAATGGAATGGAGTTTACTGTCATACTCGTACTCATTACTCATTTGGAGTCTTTGCATCAACTGACTAACATGTTTGTCAGTATATGTGCTGTTATGTTACGCATTGCTGAAAACCGGAGAAATAGACGCAGGAGAGTGTCATTGGACCATCGTGGGAGGGCTAGAGCAAGGGAAGTAAACTTCCTTAGGATTGTTCACATAAGTGACACGGCGTGTATAGAGAATACAAGGATGGACATGAGGTGTTTTCATAACTTGTGTGGGTTGCTTAAAACTGTTGGTAAACTTCAACCGACGAGCCATATGGGTGTAGAGGAGATGGTTGCAATATTTCTTCACATATTGGCCCACGATGTGAAGAACAGGATAATTAAAAGACAATTCATGAGATCCGGAGAAACCATTAGTAGACAGTTCTCTAATGTTTTGCTTGCAGTGTTACGTTGTCATAATGTTCTACTAAAACGACCTGAGCCAATCCTGGAAAATTCGACCGATGATAAGTGGAAGTGGTTCAAGGTAAGTTACTAGTCCACGTGAACCCTAATTCATGCTATACATTTTGAGTCACCAATCAAGTGTGCGTGTTACTAATATTCTAAATTGAATTATAGAATTGTTTGGGAGCACTTGATGGGACACACATAAAGTGCAACCCCTTATTGGCGGACAAGGCCAGATACCGGACTAGAAAGGGTGACATAGCAACTAATGTTTTAGGGGTTTGTTCTCAAGATGGTCAGTTTATTTTCGTCTTGCCTGGTTGGGAGGGATCAACTGCAGATTCTAGGGTTCTAAGAGATGCCATAAGTCGTCCAGACGGTTTGAAGGTTCCTAAAGGTAAGCACTATGACTCATTGACATGACATCACAGTTGTGGGTCAGTTATTTTACTTACCGTATTATATGTTTTGATATAAGTTAACTGTAACTTGTGATGTAGGATACTATTACCTAGGTGATGCTGGTTACATGAATGGGGAAGGTTTCCTTACGCCATATAGAGGACAACGATATCATCTTAGTGAATGGAGGCACGGTGCCCAACCAAGGACAGCCCAAGAATTTTTTAATATGAAACATTCCTCTGCAAGGAATGTCATTGAACGTTGCTTCGGGATATTTAAGGGGCGTTGGGCTATTGTCCGATCGAAGTCCTTTTATCCCGTTAAAACTCAATGCAGGATTATTAGCGCATGTTGCTTGCTTCATAACCACATACGGAGAGAGATGGCAGTGGACCCATTGGACGGTGAAGAAGTTTATATGCAACACGTTGAAGATAACATGGGAGGACTTGAATTCATCACACATGTTGAGTCATCTAATGCATGGACACTGCGCAGGGATGAAATGGCACATGACATGTTTAACACCTGGAGGAATCGTGTTTGAATATGAACAGAGATTGATATCAATCATTTTGCAATGTTTATTTTGTTTCCATTGTCACGTTATGTACTTTTCAAGCTATTTGCGTTTATGTTGTAATATTAAAGCCTTTGACAAACATATTGTCCCTGTACTGTACTTATTGATTATTCGTTAGTTTATGTTAAGGAGTGTTTATAACTTGGTCATGTTACTTATTTAAATCGTGTTACTTTTATGGCAGACAACTATGGACATAGTAAGTGTACTGATTTTGAAAATGTTTATCGCAGGTACAACCGTGGAACACTAAAATTTGAAGTATGGAGGAAAGTCAGAGTTTCAGAAACAAACGTAATCACACTTGGACTGCCGAGGAAGATAAGATCTTGGTCGAATGTATGGCTGACATTGCACATCTTTGGAGAGGTGAGAACGGGTTCAAACAAGGTTTCTCTAATGCAATTGAGAGGATGATGCATCTCAAGATACCGCATTGTTCACTTAAAGCCATCCCTCACATCACCTCCAGGGTGAAATTGTTGAAAAAACAATACAATGCCATTTATGAAATGACTGGAGGTTCTGGTGGAAGTGGTTTCGGATGGAACGACTCTAAGAAAATGATTGACGTCGAGAAGGAAATATTTGATGACTGGTGTAAGGTGAAGGTGTTTGAAGTTATTTGTTTACTTATGCATTGCTTTATCCTTTGTTTTGTTTTTGTATTCGGTGTTTAACTGACTTGTTTATCCGCAGTCTCACCCAACTGCAAAGGGCCTTTACAACAAGCCTTTCCCCCACTATGATATTTTGGGATCCATATTTGGCAAGGATGCAGCAACCGGAGGTAATGCAGAGACAATGGGACAATCAGTCAATGTCATGGAGTCAAATTCGGCATGCAATGCAGAGAGTGATCAAGCATTTTACGACGATCTAGACCTCAGTGGGGACTACATACCCACACCATTAGCAGATCCAGTGGAACCTGAAGTCCCAATTGAAGAAATTGTGCCACCCACAGATGTGTCTACTGCCACTGCCAAAAAGGGAAAGAAACGTGACAGACAAGAAGATTAATTGGTTGCTCCAATAGTTGATGTAATGAAAGATATAAATCAGAACTACCGCGAAGGTATTGAGAAGCTGGTTTCATGCTTTCAGCATCAAGCTAATGGGAGTAAAAGACGGATGTCTATTATGGAAGAGCTGGGAAAAATTGGAGATCTTACTGATTCACAGATGGTTAAACTTGCGGTGCAGTTGGGAAAGGATACAACTTTGACAGATGTCTTCATGCAATGCAATGATCAGCAAAGGAAGTGTCTCCTGGCTGATTTGTTGTCTAATTCTCTATAAACATAGGTGGTAAGTTTTTTTGAAGGGTTTGTGTATACAGCCATCCTCTGTATGGTACCTTTTGGTGTGGTTTTATATGGATTTCGGACAGTAGAAATAGCTTCACTGTGTGCTACCAAGATTACAAAGAAATTGGGAAAAATGGCACATCATGAATAATGCTAATCAGTGGATGCATGTGCTGGAATTGTAAACCATACTGCTTTTGGTAAGTTTGGGATGATCTGCATAAGCGAATATATATGACAAGGGAAAGGGTCTTGACGACAGCCACATTCGTTTTGGACACCTCATCTATTACTAATGCTATAAATTGATATGTATTATGTTAAGGGTACCTGCACATTAGGGATGCAACAGGTATGCTGTTTTTTATTACACCTACCTCAATATGTAATCCCTACCTGCTTTAAAGTTGTATGGTTACATGATGGTGATAAACAGACATGGACTATTTTAAGATTATTTTTGTAGGTGAAAAGGTATTATTGTATTGTCTACATAAAAAATATAATAACTGTTACAGTCATGTCATTCAATGGTGTTTGAACTTACAGTGATATAAATTTAGCTATCAAGACTTTCATGGAATGGAGCCGAAGGGCATCAAATCTGGAGACAATTAGCTACTTTGACATTACGAACGGGTTCAAC